TACATTTAAACAATGCACGCGCATTTTTTCTACGTGCGCGCACCCATCTAACGTAGTTACAAATCTACAGCGTATTTTAATGGTTTTTAAACACTGAAGAAGGGTCACATACCCGAAATGTCTGTGTTTTCATGAACATTTTTGACACTTTCCGAAATTTATACATCCAGTATCGCTTCAACCTATTTTCAGTGTCCATTAATACAGGTTTTTAACAAAAGACATGACCATAAAAGTCAAGTTTAAGGTGTCCGCGTCCGCTTTTAAAATAGGTGTCTGTTGAGTACAGGAATTTTTTACAGTGGGTGAGAAAAAAAATGGGACTTGTACTGCTGTCCGCTTACTATGGGGTCCGCTTAAAGCAGGTTTGACGGTAATCTGAAAACAATTTACTTAATTAAGTTTCAACTTACTGGAATTGAAGATGGTTTATTGAGGACAACTAGTTCATCAGTCAATTCAATAATTTCTAGAGGATTTCCCACCACAGGAGGTTCATGTCTGAAAAAAAGATACCAGTAAGTTCTTACTGTATACATGGGTAGAAGAGATAAAAAGGTGAGTTGGAACTTTCCAATATTTGTATGAAGTATGAAATAAGCATATCTGTAGACGTAAATTGAGAGTACAAAAGTGGAGACATCTCATACCATTTGCTGAGTTGTGAAAGTTTGAAAACCTACGATCAACAACCTCTCTAGATTTGATGATGATTGCACAGCACAAAATAAATTTGGGAAAAACAGCATTGATCAGGAATCCACTTCTTACTTCTGTTGAAATCTCCCACACTCAAAAGTCTTTGTCTATATTTACTTGATTTCCACAGTACAAGTTCTTTTTGAGAGGAAATAACTGAACCTGTTTTGGGTTTTGAAGGCAAAGGATAACCTTAACAATTAGCAATTTCATAATTTAATTAATTGATAATTTAGGGCCACCTTTCAAACAGTGCCCCCTGTCAAACAATTGAGTGCCCATATTCAACTGAATATCCCTCCTATAACATAAAATAAGCACCATATATGACACCTTACACTTGTCTCTCCTCTCGTATTAACATAAAGAATCCTGACCTTAGTTTAGTCTTGAGAAGCATGAAGGTACATTGGCAAGTTAAAATAAAAGAAAACACCCAATAATTTTGATTAAGTACTCTCACTGTCTCTTATAAGCATCCTTAAATTACTGTAAGTTCCAGTCATGCTTAATGGCAACTTCAATGATGTAATACTTTTCTGATTTTTTTCAAACAAAAAATAAGCGAAAAAAGAAACCCAAAACCAAGCAATCCCTTTCACCCTAGTATACATTTCTTTGCAAAAAAAAAAACAAAAAAAAACATATGGGGTCCCATATTTCCATGCATTTGCAATGGATTCTTATGAAAGTTCACATATTTGTACATGAAAAATGTGAAAAATTGTTGATATTGTCATTGTGACATCATCAAAGTGGTGCATTGAATCATCAGATGAACTGAGAACTAAAGAGTGTTAATCAAACCTGTGAACTTTATTGCAAATGATGTCATTGTCTTTAAGTATTGTTTTGCAGGAAGCCACATCACCATTCACTGCAAGAAGACAACATCACTGACATTCAGTATGGAATATTCAGTACGAAATTGTTGACACATAAACATGTGTTAAATGTTAGAGCAGTTTTCACTACTTTCATGCCCTTCTCATCCCCAGGATTTTGCATTTTCTTTCTCACAGTTTTCTTTCACGTCACGCACAACAAAGTTAGAGAAAAAGGAGTACTCAAGACATATATATAAATATAGTCTCTGGGTTTTCAATTGAGTGTCGTAAAATTAAAATCAAACCAATTACTTACCAATTAGACTACTCAACCAATGTCAAACCATAGTAAAACCAAAACCAAAACCACTTACCTCCCTGATTACTTTTGACACTCAATTGAAAACTGCTCTAACTAACCTTGTTATTCATGTGCATGTTATTTTATCACAAATAAAGTATTGCCATTAGCCACTTATATTCAAAACTTACATTCATTTTTATGTGGTTTTCAGTGAAAAATGTCAGCAGAAAAATGTAATCTATTGTTACATAAACCTTTCAAGTTATTTTCTTTACAATATTGAGTGTCACAAACAATTTCCCTAGAAAGTCTGTGACTACATCCTAATGTTAAAAAAAAATCCATGGTTTATACTACAGAGATCTTGAGTTATTTTGTGATATTCTTATCTTTCATAATTTCTCTTAACTATTCTTCTGTTAGACAGCCATAATACACTGTCCACATGTTAGCATATTTCTGTTGTTTCTTTCTGTGAATTAAAGTCTATTAACAGACTTCTTCAAAAGAACACCAAATGCAAACACTAACTTGATAATTAGGCTAACATGCACCTTAGTCTATCATTTGATTGGCACCTGTTATTTTTCCAGCCGTTATTGCTTTCTCCTGTGGGAAAAATATTTAACAGCAAGTTAGAGCCTAACATTGATCACTAGTAAGATTAGTTTGGAATAGAAGTTATGCATTTGAAAACAAACTCAAACTGTATAACTTGTGCTATTACCAAGCATCTGCTAAAATATATACCACAATTAATTCTTGTCAGTGTTTGGTTTATTAGCATTCATAAAGGTACAGCTGTAAGGTATACAACTAAACTTCATGCAACTTACAAAGGAAGAGATTGAGACCAGGTAGGATTCAAAGCCAAATCTCTATGATGACTAGTTATGTGGGGTGAACAGTATAACATCACATCAGTGAGCAAAGGTTTACAGTTGAAAGCAATATTTAGTTGACTATATTTTTGCAGTTTTAATTTGTTCTCAGAAGCTAGTGAGTGTTGTAAAAAAATATTTAAAATAAAACACTCAAGTGAACTTTGTCAAAAGTCCCTGACTTGTAAGAGGCCATTTAATAGTAAGCTTTTTTACACACTCAGAAGAACCTGAACTTCGACAGGGATGGAACCCCAGATTTAGCAATGCAGTCCCCTTGATATTATATACAAGGAGACTTTGATTTATCTCCAAGACATTCATGTACTGTAGCTAGATACAAGTTAACGCTATAACTATACTGACGTAATACTCCTGTGTCTCAGATTGAAACTCTTCCTTAAACACATCAATCAAGCTGCGTCCCACCCAGCGTCCTTTGCAGTAGGTGGTGAATGTGAAGTAATATGGATGAACACATCGCAAACCTGTAAACATCCAGACACCAAAACTTTAGAAATTGTATGTAAAATTATTGTAATTAAATACCTTAACATTAAAGAAATGACAAATGAAATACATCAAAAAACTTGCCATGCAAAAAAGGTGCACTTTTTTAGCAGATTATAAAGAAGAGATGTGACATCAGATCATCCCACACTCAACTCAGTTATGTACGGCTGGTTAAATGAATATTTATTTACAGCTTCAATTGTATAACTTACTGACTCATACATTGGAAGTGTAGCAGCTCTCATAAACTTGTAATTCCGTTTGTTGTTATAGTGTAGCAGCTGTCTTGTTTTGCTTCTTTTGTTTGCTTTCTTAAAGGGCTTCAAGCCACTGATGGCAGACTTTGTGAGAGCTGCTACCCAATTACCAAAAATCTAAGATATTGGACAAAGGTTGAGGCATTGGTGGTTTAATAAAAACTAAATAATTTTAAGGTGGAGGAGTTTGATTCATTCCTAACTAAAAAACCTTATCAGCCACATGCGATGTTTTCCAGTGAATAGCTGTGCTCTTACTGAGTAAAGCCAGACTTACAAGTGAATCAGCGTAGCAGTAGCACTGTCTGGGTGAGAAGCTCACCGGACTTTACAGTGTAGCCCTGTTAATCAGGCCACAATGGAGCTGCCAAAATCTAGTTGTATATTAAACAGGTTGGTAGTATTATAAACAAAGTGATTCCTGAGCTTTAATTTGGGCTAAGAAAAGCGGGAACTGGTAAATCAAACTCCCAACCCTTAACTCCAACTTTCACCTACTCACAACTAGTAACTACAATTTGCATTGACATGGTGACCCCAAACTTGGCAATTTTTACATTTCTTTGTAGATTGGAAATTATTGTCAGAAAAACACTTCCAATGGATCCTTATGAAACCCCTACATTTACTAAATTCAGCATGATAAAACGAGACATGAGGCTTTTTCTTGTTTGAATGAAAAGAGAAAAAAAATGGAAAAGCATGGCATCGGTAAAAAGTTCATTGATCACTAACAAGATGGTTCAAATATTGCACATGTTCTCTTTTCTATGATTCAATTGAATGATCTGATTTGAACCTGGTTGCAGCTACTGTACAATGTTTCTTATGTATTATATATTTTATTTTTCATGTATTTTAAAGATCTCTATAAATATTTTTGCTTTTGTATTATTTTATAACTTAGGCTTTGGGAAGAAATACTTTTCCAGTCTTTTAGAAGTAAACTGATGCCAATGTTCTTGTTCAAGATTCAGGGCTAATATTAGTATATCTGAAAAATTCTTGGCTGGTCCACAGTTTTCTTTTTGGATTTCAACAGCTCTTGCTGAAATCTTCTTCATCCACAAAGTCCTAATTTGACTTTAATTTTTACTTGGCAGGCACCATCCTTAAATAGAAAGTTTGGGACAACAATGCTGTGGAAACAACTCCTACAGCTTGTGTGCCCACATCATTACTCATTATCCCAAATTTCAACATGTGTCACTATAACTTGTGATAGTTCACCACTAAATTTTCTCTGATTCTTATTGGTTTCAATCAGTCGTGTGATGTGATAGTGTTCATCAGCAGAGAGACACTATCAGCCCATAGTGGCTGTCTGAAGAAAATATCCAGATGGACAGTACTTGTCCGTAAAATTTTTGCTGTTAACCGACTATATACATGAATAAAAATTTAATTGATCTGCGTTTAGTGGGTTTTTGTCTATTTTCTTTCTCAAATTTTACATTTGGCTTTCCTGCCTTTCATAAAAAAAGTTGAAAACAATGCAATGTATGTAATATGATTTTTGAACTGATGCACAGAAGAAAAATTTAGTGGTTAACAATAAAGAAAATAGAGTGTTTATGTCTCAGAACTATCGGTCTGCTGGTTGCCCCTTGGAAATTTGATGTTCTTAAAGTAGTATATTTGCCCTCGAAGCTTCACTTTTTGGGCAAATATTTGTTAAATTAAGAGCGTCAAATTTCTATGGGAAACTATCAACTGATGGTTCCTCCTCAACAGAGACACTCTATTGATTCAATAGAACCACCAGGAATGTTCTCTGTTTCTTAAATAATATACCATACCCTCACCATTTCTTAGGTAGCATGTGGTTTCTTTTAAAAGTTCATTATCAAATCCTGGGTTTTTGATATTTTTCACCTTTGGAACTTTCTGAAATAATACAAGAAATGCAAACAACATTGACAAGAATTAAATACCTGAACAAATATCTGCAACACTTTAACAATTGAATTAACAATTTCAGTTTGTTTTGTACCAGCACAATCAAATACAGTTGAACCTGTATACAATGGCGACCCTTGGGACTTGAGGAACTGGCTGGTTAATACAGGATCACTAAAAATACTCACTGGGCGTGGTCTAATGATGTAGAACTGTACTTCAGCACATTACAGACATGTGGAAATCGTTAACGATACTAAATGGCTGATTATTAGCTTACAGTAACTTTGTACATGCTATTTCTTTATAGTGATGATGGATAGCATTTTAAATGCAATAAAATACCGCATAAAATGACATGTGGCTTAGTTTCTGTTCAAGGGTGGCTGCTCAACACAGGTGAAAATAACAAAGAAAGACAAACATAGGACTGCTACAGGGTAGCTGCAGCCACCTAATAGGGGTGGCCGCCTAATGCAGGTAACAAATACAACGTTGCATGAGCGAAAGATCTGAACTTTGAAAACTGGCCACTTAAGGTAATTCCCCTGAAATAAAACTACACA